AGTATTTTTACCTGGATGCTTTCATCTGTCTGCATTACAAGTTTAGCGTGCTTAGCCATGCTGTTATATGACTCCTAAGTATGTAAATTGTAATATTTTTTTAAGGTTTTTTGTTACATTCAGTTCCATAAGCATACTATGTTTATTAAAGCTCTCCTTGGATTTTCCAAATTTCCTGTCCACTTTGCTCAAACTTCATCCAAATTGCCCATCTAATTTAAGATTTTATATTGGCTAGTCCATAATGGACAACATAAATTATTTCCTGGTTTTATGAGGTAAGCCTACTGATTTTGATCCTTGTGTTTTATATTACACTGTCTCATTGCCAAGTCTCAAGCAATAACTTCCTTCCTATTTCCTAGTTGTTCTCTCCTTCATTTCTTACACTATATTTTAGGGTAGATTATCTGAAATTAGTGTTGCATCTCACAGAATTGTGTGTCATCTAATTTCTAACTCAAACACGTCTTAAACAATTAGCACAAGAAATAATCTTTGTTCTTCCCCCAGCTTGTGATGATGAATGCACAGGACTCCTTCTCAATGACCTGGATCGGCTAAACCAGATGATCCTGAGTGTTAACCTTAGTGGTCCACTGCCTGCTCCATATAAAATGTTACATGGTTTTGAGAACATGACACAGGAATTAAAGGTGTGTTCAGAGTATTCACATACATAACTATCAGGACATCAGTACAACTGTACTTGAATGTGTTAAAACATACAACCATGAGTAGGTTCAGGGAAGAAGAAAAATTTGACATTTAATTACTTCAGACTGGATTTAGTTGATAAATAGGTATTACAGTAGTTTATTTTTACTTACTTTTATAAATAAATCTTGTAGCAGTAATTTCTGTACATATGTGCAAGGAATTATACTGCAGGCACAGAAAAAGTGATGTCGCATACAAATAAAATGGTGTCCATGCTGGGAGTCCATAAAGTGGTTGTGTATTTTATATACTGTATGTTCCCTGCCATATTTACAAGTTCTCCATTAAACTATGTAAAGTTGTTGAGATTCCTGATAAAAATCTGTTGGCTGGATGTGACACAAGAATCATAGATGAAAGGGAATGCATACCGTAATGAAAAGGAAATGTTTAATGCTTCTTCTCTACAATATTTGGAAGCACTGGCATCCATTAAATACAGATTTTTCACTCTCCCATCTCTTCCCCAACAGCATTTGCTTTCACCTCAGCGAGCACCAGAGAGATTTCTTCAGCTAGCACAAGAAAATCTGGATACCCTGGTGACAGAAATGGATGAACTACTGACAAGAGTAAGGCTGTGATCACATTGGGGTCTATGGGTTTGGTTAAGGCTGCATAATGACAGAAATCTTCTGAATATGAATTAAACATGAATGAATAGATGAATTATAAGATACTTCTCAGTCTCAGCTGCTCAGAAATGGCAGCAAGTCCTCTAACAACCTCATTTTGTGGGCCAATACATTGAGATATATTTTCTGCAAAACTTCATAGTAATGTAAGAAAGCTTTATCATGCCCATACAGAGCACCCAAGAATGAGCTTATCGGGAAAAGCTGACACTAAAGAGATGTGTGAATTTTGTTAAATATATGTATCCTAGATTTCATTTATGAGGGTACTTAGAGTTTTCTGGATTTCAATCAGTATGCTATGTGGTCTTTTTATTACGAAAGTTTTATTTCATTATAGACCTTATTTTGGTCAGTAAAAAACAGTATCTAAGAAAATAATATAAATTGTGCCACCTAGTGGATAAAAAAAATAGGGAAGTGGACCAGCCACAAGACAACTACAGCTGTCCAAAGTACATCGATGTGAAGGACTATGAGAAATCATGTTTGTGAGTAGAAAGAGGCAAATACGTACTGTACGGATGAATATACACCTCTGAGAATTACATAAACTCCATGCAGTTTTTGCATCTTTAAATTGTACATGGCTTACAGAACTAAAATTCTCAGAGAAACTGATTTCTTTGTGTAGATTTTCGTCAATTTTGAAATGGATAGTAGGTAAGAAAGCATCTGTAGTGTGTTTGCATATGTAGGCCTGTATGTGTGTGTCTGTACACCCACGCACACATGCATATACAAGTATCTATCTAAACATACTCATTGTGAGTATAAAGAAAGCTTGTTTTTCCACTTCTGTTTGATCTTATATTTTTCTGCCAGAAATAACTGTTTTAAGTCTAGCTGTATTTTTAACTCATGACAGCCCTACAAGCAGGGAAGATTATATTTCTTCTTTTACTATTTCTCAGTCTTAGGCCATGAAAATTTTTTTACTCTTGTATAGTTGTTCTTTTTAGTATCCTTTTCCAATTTCCCCCATAGAGATGACCTAAAATAAAGTTACAAATTCTGAACTTCTGTAGATACTGTTGGAGGGAAAAATATCAAAGGTGTGATCTTAGGAGAGTTATTGTGGTGGCCATCACATGCTTGCATTCCCAGACCTAGCACCAGAAGCAAACCTGAGACTCTTCAGTTCCTTTCAGTTCACTGCATTTCATCACAACCCTCACTTCCCTTCTAATTAGGTACCTGCAGAGTCTTCAAGAAAGACAAGGATTAGAACTCGATTGAAATGCTTCTTTCATCTTTGTAAACTTTTGCATTTCTCCCATACCACTGAATTTCTCAAACTCAAAAACTTACGGAAGTAGTAGCAGAGGCAACTTAGTTTGCGATAGAGGGAAGCATTTGGAGGGAGAGCCAAGAACTTCCATCTGTACAGCGAGGTCTGTGTTTCCTCCTCATTCTGTGGTCTCCAGCTCACTAGCTGAAGAAATTCTGTAGGGCTCCCCTCCAGATGACATCCAGAGGAGTCTCCTATGGCTTTATTGAGAAGATGTGTGCATACTTGCTAATACTTACTGATAGTTTAAGTAGCTAAGTGGCTACTCCAGACTGGGACAAGGCCTTCCATGGAACCTCCATCACTACATATAGGCTATGAACTTCACTAAAGCATGTTCACCGATTGCAGATACTTCCTGGACTGGATTTCCATGGTAGGGACCTCCTTTATTCCAAGAAGTCTTATTTGGGTCCAGACTTCTTGAAGATTCATTCAAAACCCTTGCTCTAGGTTCAGTCTGCCTGACCCTTATCGCTCCCCTGGAAGGTTTGTTGTGCCTGTTTAAACTTCTAGATGATGCTGGAAAACGACCTTATAGAAAAGGTGAGCTATAGTAAACTGTATATGTAAAAAATTAGTAGGACCTTATTAACAAATGAAAACATTTAATTTACCATGGATTGGCTAGGAGCAGTGTGAAGGATGTTTGGCTAGGAACAGTGTGAAGGATATTGAATTTGGTTTATGGAGTTAAACCTAGACCAGATAATGAAGCCAAAGATTATTTTTCAGCAAAGCAAATTATGTTAACATGCAAAAAGCCTTCTGTGGACCTGAATAGGATTTAAGTACTAAAGAGAACTGTCATGGAGGGGAAATGAAAACTGTTCGATGACAGATTAATTTGCACAAAAATGTAGTACATGCTATTCAGTCATAAATAGAGAGGTTAAAGTGGCCAATTTGAATTAACATGAATGTGGAAAAAGTAATCAAAACTAAGAAAGTTATATGTAAGTTATAAAGCACCATTTGTAGCAAAGGACTTAGAAATGTTATAGGATAAAATAAAATTGAATGTGAATATTCCAAGCAAATAAAACCCAAAGAATAAAAGGCTGCTTGTGGTGAATTTGACAATAAATAATAAGATACTCTCAATTACATGAAGAATTAAATTATATCAGAAATGCCAAGCTGAGTTAGAGCAGTGATCCATCAGACCATTTTGAATTTTTGCCTTTTTCCTGTCCCAATTGCTCTTACAGTTCACTGTGACAATATTTAGCTCTATATCCAGGCAGGTAAAAGGGGTTTGTAAATCTTAGAGTAAGTAATTAATAGTATGATTAAAGCTGTATAAGTGTGAAAAGACATGTTCTTCTACCGATAAAGGTATGAAATAGAACCAGCTCTCCTCAGTCTGTAAGGGGTTTTAATTCTTCTTGTATAATTCTATTTTCCTGAGCCATTTTCATATAAACTACTTTCAGTGTAACTACTCTGAAGTAGCCCAAAAACTTTAAGTGGTATGATAATGCCAGGTATTTCATTTTGGGAAACCAGCTGTCCTGATGTATCTTGAGGGCTTCTATCTAGAAGCTAATCAGGCAAAAGTTTAAGTGCTACTATTTCTCTTTGACTATTATTGAAAAGTGTGTGGGGTTTTTGTAACTGAGAAACAGTTTGTGCAGTGCAAGTCAGGGAAAACCTAAGCTCATTTTGAATTATTGACCTTCTATCCATTTCACAGAGACTGGAAAGACTGTAATGCCCTACTTCAAGATATTTTTGGGGAATACAATCCCCGAAGAAAAAAACTTTGGTTGTTAGTTTTTTTCTTTACAGAACAGTTCGACAAGCTTTGATGCTTGAAGTGCTCAGCTTCTTTGTAATAAAAATGGGTCCATTTTGTAAATGGGAACCTTGAGAGCTAAGCAGAATGTCTTCAGATGATTCCTTTCCTCAGTACAGTTTTCAGGTCTGCAGCAGATGTCTGTCTTCCTGCTGCTGCTGGTGTGATTCAGTACAATTATAAAACCTTTAGTTACATACATAAAGCTAAAATTTTACTGAGCACCCCAATATATTATAAACAAAGAAATTCAAGCACCAGAGCTGGAAAAAAACTATTCTTTTTTTACCTCTCTCTTTCTTCATTTAATTAATGTATTGATTTAAAATTCTTCTTGTTTGTTGGCACGAACTGTCTCTTTGAGAACACCTCCAGGGAAGAAGCAAAGAGGTCATGATACCTGCTGCACTTTGTCAATCGGAAAGTACACGATTGTGAAACTATGAAAAGTATTCCCTGAAGAATCTATTAAAAGGCTCCAAACAACATTTCTTTAAGCAAATTCAGTGGATAATTTCATGCTGTCTCCCTTTGTGTTCTGTTGCACACATCTAGGGTTTCTAAGAACCTAAAATAAAGCCTTCCAATTTCCATTTAAAGGAAAAGGTAATAAAATTTAATTGTGTACTTGAACAGAGCATGTCATTTCCTATGCATCTGATCAATAATTCATTGATTGCCTCTGGCCTGAGGAAAGTTTTATACATAGATTCAGCCAGTAGGAATATCACATAGTGCAGCCTTGTCCTGTTCATTAATTATATTTTTTCCTGAATTTGGATCACTAGGCTACTAAGGTGACAGCAGATGGTGAGCAGACCAGGCAGGATGCTGAGAGGACTAATGACAGAGCGAAGTCTCTTGGACAGTTCGTCAAAGGCATTCTCCAAGCTGCTGAAGGTATTGGAAAAAAAGAATATGCCAGTTGTTTCTCAAGAAAACTGGAGTATGGTGGGAGAGAGGGTTTGAGAGACAGCGAGGAAGATTTTATTCACTGAGAAATGTCATATGCTTTAAATGTTGAGTGAATAAAATGTGGTAAACTATCTTCAGATTTTTTTTGAATCTGTGCAGTTTATTTAAGCAGCTAGTGTATTCATAATTGTGAACAAAGACTAGCATAATACTGAATATCTTCCTTCAGGATTTTTGTGGTTATTTGAAAAGCTATTATGGCGAAGTAACTTAAAGGGCTTAGCTTTTGTTTATTTTCAAAGCAGATAAGAATGTGTATTGGTAGAAAGTTTGATATAATTTTAGCACTTGGCACACTAACACTTCATCTTAATTCCCCAGCATTGCTTCGAAAAGTCATTACTACTTGCCATTAATGAACATCTGCTGCTTGGAATTTTCAAGTGATTCCTAACCCTACCTAAGCAGTGGCATGGAGCCAAGCCATCTCTCTCTCTTCCACAGACTGATTCACAGCCCTTACACTGCAGTAAAGGCTGATGAGAAAAAGTATTTAGATGTTTTTGAGAAGTAAGACCTATATATTGCATGAAGCTATTAAATAAGATAATGGCTGAAAGTATGAAAACGATTGGCAGTTATAGGCAGGTTTTTTTCCCTGAAAAATACAGATCTGTTCTTTCCTCCTCAAAATTTTCACTGCAGTATAGCTTTCAGTGGCTATGCGTCTGAAGGCCCATTTTGTAGAAAGGACTTTTGTCGGAGTGCTAGAAAATATATTTTATATTGCCATTCATGTAATACATCTCTGTACATGCCCTGGGGCTGAACTGAACAGCAATTTAGAGTATCTTTAGGACTTGTAACTTTGACATGAAATAAATGTGGAAAAGGCAATAAGAACAAGTGTGTAAGTTTTCAAGATTTTTTTTTTTTTTACAGCAAAAGACCAGGTTCCTCATATTTCAAGATCAATTTGGGATCACATGAGCAAAACCAATCCTTTTGCTCCACAATGTTTATGCCCAGAGTTTGTAACCCAAACAAAAATTTCCTCAAGCAGGTTTAGCAGTAGGAAACGCAGAGTTAGACAACATTGAAGGGGTGAAATAAATTTATGCAGTACGTTAGAATTGAACAAAGATTTTTAAGTCTATGTGTTTGCCTAGTGGCCAAGTTAACGTTTTAAGACTACATGAAATAAACGAGTACAGGACTGAAAGATACCTTCTGGGTTAAGGCACCCACTCCCCTGCTATCATAAACATTCTAACCCTCATCTTCAAAGCAGTTTCCACAAATGCACACAATCTCAATAGGAGGCAGTTTCAGTACTCTTCATAATTACAATCCTTCACATTTCTAGCTAAAAATATTCATATTTAGTTTATCATCATGTGTTCTTTTGCAAACCTCGTCCTTTAGTTCAGATAAGTTTAATTTTTCCTCTCCCTAGTAATTCTCCTTGCCCCACCACCAATTATGTTTGTAGAGAAGAATCATGTACCTCTTTGGTCCCTTTTTTCTAAACTAAAGCACCCAAAATAATATTCTCCCAAATCTCCTACTCACCTTCATGGAATTTTCCTTCCTCTGTTCAAAATTATGTCCACGTTTCCTGACTACAGGTAAAAAGGTTTCTTCAATGTTTTGCTCTTGAATAGTAGTAAAGAGACATATTCCTATGTCAGGTCTCCTAATAACATCCTAATTATTTTTTTTAACAGCTGGGTGCCATTGGAGATTCATATCACAACTATGTTCTTCTCACTCCTACCTTTTATCTAACTGACAAAAAACTCCTTATAACAAGTGAGAAGTTCGTAGTGATTTGTTACAATGACCATACTCTAACCACAGATCCATTTCTACTGAACCAATTGCTGACTTACTGAACTTCTTAGTACCTGTAACTTGTTTTCCAATTTAAATATGAAATTTCCCTGCTTTGCACTTCCTTGTGTTTGTCTATGTCAGTGCCCCTAAATCTTTTACCACTCTGATAGCTTGATACATACCAAGAAAAGTATACAAAAGAAAAGTTTGCTAGGAGAAGAATAGAGGACAAGGATAAAACTAGGTATAAATTTTCCTGAAGAAAAGCTTAGATAATAGATCCATTTTCACTTTTAAGCTAAGTATTCAGAGAAGTTGAATCATTATTTATTCAATAATTAAAATAGTTAATATATGTCCATTCCTGGCCTGAAGTAACTTAGTAATGGTACATAATAGAGTACACAGAAGCCATCCATTGTCTATTTGAGCAAAGTGTAGCCTTTTTCCAGCCCTCACTAGCCTACACATAATCATACATGATTAAAGATACAAATCTCAGATCTCCCCTGCTAAACAAAGACATCATTAGATTAGAATTTTCTTAATTTGCTCTAAATCTATGCAATGTGTAGATGAAATATTCATTTATTTGAAGTTTGGAAGACCAATTTTAATTTCTTTAATTAAAGATATAATTTAAATACTCAGAAGTACCCTGTGACCAGAAACAGTGCCGTTTTGGAGAAGTTAGTTACTTGGGATCTCTGTTCCTACAGAAAGGAAATTGAAAGGGAACTGATTGCCATAAATGACCTAGTTGCTTCTGTAACTCTATGTTCTTGTGTGTTGTGGTGTGCTATGGCAGACAGATTTCAGTCAGTCCTTGAATAATGATGCTATGTCTACAGCTTTATCAGTCAGGCATAATTCAGCTGTTCTAAACACATAATACATTTGCAGTATACCTTCACATATTCCAACCTTCTTCATACCCTTCTTTTCCATTTCTGCCTATCTGCTTCTAAACACGAGTGGGTTTAGACATCTGTGGGTGTCTTTCACTTCTCTCTCCTTCATTTTATGAAATTTCATAATTGTTTATTCTTCCTAGCACTGTTAAGTCTGAATGCTAAAAATGACGTATTTTGAAGTTCTCCAAAAGTAATTTAAATCCAATTTTCATTGCTTATACTGCCTGCTCCTTAATTCTATGAGCAATATACCGTCATATTTTCTGCTCTTTATAAGTTTCAGTGTGAATTCTTTCTTTCAGGAGAGGATGAGGGGACCAATGTATTTCTTACATTGAATATAAATACTTCTTCACTTTAATTATTGTGTTTAAAAGTGAGCTGTAATAAAAGGTTTGATGAAACATATATCACTTTGTCATTTGTTACTGGTTATTGGATTAACCATCCTTTATATT